TCCGCTGGCAGAGGCCCCCGTACGTGCCCCTCGGCAGCCCCGCCTTCGCTCACGTGGACCTCTCCAACCTGGGCGAGAGGGACGTGGTCTACACTGGCGTGGGCGACATCCCGGACATGTTCTATCGTTTGGAGACGCCGCCCGATGTCTGGCCCTACTTTGTCTTGGAGGAGGTGCCAGTCCACGAGTTCGTCGAGTACATGAGGACCAAAGGGCGGGACTGCGTCATCCCCGATGGCGGGCCCTTCCTGGCGCTGAAGGTCCTGGTCATGGGCTGGTCGTGGGCCCCGTTCTTGGCCTACTCTACGTTGCAGGCCTGCATGGCGCGCGGGCTCGGGGAGGACTCCGTCGGGGCGCGTCTGGTCCACGGGGCCCCGACGCCTCAACTGACCGGGCCCGAGGGGTTCGAGTCGGTGAACTGGGCATACATGGACGACTACGGGGCCATGGCCACGTCCGCCAGCGCGCAGCAGCCGGTGAGCGAGGTCGTGAGCGGACTGACGGCCCGAGTCAAGCACTACTTGAGGCAGGTCGGGCTCCCCGTCCACAAGGAGACCGAGGGCGAGGGGCTCGAGTCGCTGGGGGCGGTCATCCGAGGCCGACCCTACTCCGTCTCAGCAGAGACCGACCGCACCTGCGGCCTGGCTCTGGTGACGCTGCGGCTGGTAGAGCGGACGTACTGGACCGCGGAGCTCCTCGAGCGCGTCGTGGGGTTGTGGGCGTGGGCGGCCATCTCCCAGCGCACGGGCCTTGCCATCTTCGACCAGGTGTACCACGAGCTGAGACGCCCCGAGACCGCCAAGACGCCGTTCCGACTGACGGACGCGGCGAGGTGGGAGCTTACTACGATGGCGTACTGCGCACCCCTCTTACGTACAGATCTCGAAGCTCCGTGGCTCTCGCAGGTGTTCATGACGGACTCCAGCGACACGGGCTACGGAGTGGCGGTCACCGACGCATCGCTGGAGGAGAACAGGAAGGACGCCCGTTACAGCGAGATGAGGGGATGGACGATCGCCACCGAGGATATCTACACAGCCCAGGAGGAGGACGCCTGGGTCCCCCATGCTGGGGGGTGTGCCTACGACGTCGACGAGCTTATCGAGGCCTCGACTGCACCGCCGCCGCGGGCAAGTCGGAGAGTCTACCGGGTGCTGTACCTCTTCGCGGGCAGGCGCCGGGAGGGGGATCTAGAGGAGGCCATCCACTCGCGGGCGGAGCACGACGGCTACGAGGTCGAGGTCTGGTCCATCGACGCGGTGATCAACCCGAAGCACGACCTCACCAACGACGAGTTCGTCAGCCTCATCCTGAGCCTGGCGCGCGACGGGTACTTTCACGCAGTGATCGCCTCGCCCCCATGCTCCACTTGGAGTCGGGCTCGCTTCCTGGGGAAGGGGCCCAGGCCCTTGCGGACACGCCTCGAGCCTTGGGGGCGGAGCGACATGTCATTCACAGCCTTCGAGCGCCTCCGCCTGGACCTAGGGTCGCGCCTTTTGCTGTCGGCCATGCAGGCGGTCCGCGAGGTATGTCGAGCTGGAGGCCTGGGCTTGATGGAGCACCCTGCGGACCCAGAGGAGGACCCATACCCGTCAATCTGGAACCTACCCGAGATGGCATGCCTCCTCGAGGAGACGGGCGGGAAGATCAATCGGATCGACCAGTGCCGCTACGGAGCCCCATCGATGAAGCCGACCATGATTGGCATCTTCAGGTTCTCTACGACGACACACTGGACCTCGCCGCGGACCGTGTCCGCTTGAGGTGCAACCACCGAGGGAGGCATCAGACAGTACTCAAAGGACGGGCGGAGCGAGGCCGTCCCGATTTCTGCACCGCCTCCGCCCAGGCGTACCAGCCGCCGCTGTGCGCCGCGCTGGCGGAGGTGATCATCGAGGCTTTCGCCCGCATGACGAGGGAGATGAGTGGCCACGATCCAACGGGCTCGCGCGTGTCTCCATCTACTTCGTCCTTCGGCCCGCCGAGGCCGGGAAGGGCGAGGATCGAGGCGAGGCGGGGCGATCGAGTCAGAGTCCCCCCGCTGTCCCCCGCTTGGATGCCGATCGCGAGATGGCGGCCGCTCTACTTCGGGAGGTGGAGGATCACGGAGCACACGAACATCAACGAGACGCGGGCCGTGGTGGGCCTGCTGCGACACCTGGCCAGATCATCACGGATGTGGAGGCGGAAGGCCCTGATCCTCACAGACAGCATGGTGGCTCTGGGGGCCCTGGGCAAGGGCCGCTCGAGCTCACCAGCCCTGCTGCGCTTGTGCCGCCAGGCGGCGGCGATCACCATGAGCTTCGCGATTCAGGGGTACTACCGCTACGTCCCGTCGGAGCTGAACATCGCCGACGGCCTCTCTCGGGGGGGCTTCCTCGGCGCGGCGCCCGAGACGGTAGCAGCTCACAGCGACCGACACCCCGCTCCAACGGACAGCCGAGGTCACGATCTACGCGACCTGGGCCGCGCTTGTACGGGATACGCTGGTGGGTAGCCGCCATGGCATTGGAGGCAGTCCACCCTGTTGGAGCGGTCCGCCCGAAGCCACCCAGGGCGGGAGACATCCCCCTGCAGAAGCGAGGGCCACGTGCGTGGGAGAACTACGAGAAGGAGCCGCACCTGGGCATCAGCGAGGGCGGCTTCACAAGGCTGCTCACCCACTCCGTGGAGGACGTCACCGCGGCGCAGTGGGCCCCGAAGGTTCGAGACTTTCTCAGCCACTGTGTCGACAAGGGTTGGGAGCTGCGGTCCGCGAACGCCGTGGACCACGCCCTGGCCGACTACATGGACATGAAGTGCTACAAGGACCGGCTCCGTCCTACATGGGGGTCGATCGTCTTGTTTGGGCTGCTGGTGATTTGGCCTGAGCTGAGGAACCAGCTTCCCCTGGCCTTGCGAAGCCTGAAGAGCTGGCAGAGGCTGGTTATCTCTGTGGAAGGGGGTCCTCTGCCTGAGGAAGCTGTCTTCGCCATCGCCATCTACTTCTTCGAGGCGGGGCTCCTGGATGAAGCCATCTGGACCCTGGTGCAGTACGACGTCTACGGGCGGGAGCAGGACATGGAGATGCTACGCGAGGCCGACATCATCTGGGATGGCCGATGCGTGGGCCTCCTGTTTGGCATCTCGGCCCGAGGCGAGGAGGGCAAGACGGGCAGCAACCAAGGGGTCGTCATCCGCCGCGGCACGGTCGCGAGCCTCATCCTGGCCCTGAAGGACGTCAAGAAGAATGTCACGGGGCCCATCTTCGGCCCCAAGCAGGCAGGCTTCCGCAAAGAGTGGCACCGCGCATGTCGCTCGCTTGGGATGCCATGGGCGCCGCCTCCGCACGGGCTCCGCCACTCGGGGCCCAGCGAGGACGTGGCCCGAGGACGGGCCAGCCTGGAGCAGGTGCGGAGGCGGGGCAGGTGGAAGGCATTGTCCAGCGTCCAACGGTACTCCAAGACGTTCGCCCTCACGCAGTTCCGTGCAAAAATGCCGAAGAAGGTGCTGGACGTGGGATCCCGTGCGACCTCCGACCTGGCCGCCGAGATACTCCGTGCGATAGAGTCCCGCACCAACTACAGCAAGCAGCAGCAGCAGCTGGTCGACGGCATCAGGACGAATCTGAAGACGAAGAAGGTGAAAGATGTCGCCGCAGAGCTCCTGATGCTGGGACCCACCACCAACAAGAGGTCCACCACCAACAAGAGGTCCACCACCAACAAGAGGTCCACCAAGGGTGACACAAGCTGCCCAGAGTCCGACGACCTCTACTCCGACGAGACGTGGGGAGAGGGAACTGGATGGTGGACAGAGTGAGGCGACAGGCCAAATGGGGGCGCCCCATGTGGGCGGCTAGGGGCGCCATACGAGGGCCCCCTAGAGGTGGTGGCCTACGGGCGCGACCACCACACGGTGAGCTTGGCCGGTCGCATGATTTTCGTCGTTGTGGCCCCCGCCCGCCCGCCCTGGCCACAACATGTAGTTTTTGTCGGCTACGCCAGGCACATCAAATGCGGGAGTGGGACTGAGAATCTTCTGATGCCGATCGCAACTCGAGTTTTTGTTGGTTGTGATTTGGTTGAGGTTATATGGATCTCAATCGGCCTCCCGATGAATGATTATATATACATATATATATATATATATATCTTTGGCCCGTCTGGCCCCTCGTGCAGTGTGTGGTTGAAACAGTACCTCCTCATAGGCCGCTTCGCGGCGTTGCTGCACGTCCCGCTGTCAGAGACTGTGTATCCTGTCAGCTTCGCTGGCCCCCCGCCTGCCCCCTGAGACGTAGCGATAATGATCGTTTTCCAAACTTAATTGATCGCGTCTCGGGGTGGTGTGGTGGGGGTGGGCCGTGTAAGATAGTAGTGCAGGTTATATCCCTCGTCCTGCCCTGCTTGTCTTTCGTGTCCGCTCAAGCTTCCCTCCCTGTTTGCACGCTTTGCCCGGCCCTGCTCTCACGACACGTGGGACTGAGAATCTTCTGATGCCGATCGCAACTCGAGTTTTTGTTGGTTGTGATTTGGTTGAGGTTATATGGATCTCAATCGGCCTCCCGATGAATGATTATATATATATATATCTTTGGCCCGTCTGGGCCCTCGTGCAGTGTGTGGTTGAAACAGTACCTCCTCATAGGCCGCTTCGCGGCGTTGCTGCACGTCCCGCTGTCAGAGACTGTGTATCCTGTCAGCTTCGCTGGCCCCCCGCCTGCCCCCTGAGACGTAGCGATAATGGCAGAAACCGTTCAACGACGACCTCGATCCTCCTCTCCAACCCCCCCCTCCTGCTCCTCCTGTTCACGCTGTTCCTCCTACTACCCCCTCCTCCTACTACCTCCTCCTCATACTACCCCTTCCTCCAGCTACCTCCTCCTCCTCCTCCTCCTCCTCCTCTTCCTCCTCCTCCTCCTCCTCCTCGTCCGCATGGACGAAGTCGAACGACGAGCGAAGACCGCGGCCGACAGCGTAAAACAACAAACGACGACGGCGGCGAACGGCAACGGCGACCGCCTGGAAGTAGATGTCCGCGCACGCGCCCCCGAGTTGCACGGCCTGGGCCTCGGGGGGCGGGCAGTGGGACACCAGCGCGCACGCGCCCACGGGGCTGGAGCCTCGACCGTTTGGTGTGCTTTCGGCGCCGTGATTTCTCACGACAGCGGCGCCCATGCACCGCACCATGGTTGGACTCGCACGAAGCCGGGCTCCAACACAGCATAGTGCACAACTGTTCGGCTCCGAGGGCCGCAAAACTGTGCACTGTGCCGATCCCGGGTCGAGGATCCACGACGCATCGGGAGGCGCCATCGCGGCACGGTGCACATCATGGGGAAGACAAACGGTACCGATAAGGTTACTCCCCAAACCTCTCCTGGGGTGCGTTCTGACCAGGACTTCGAAGCGAATCCAGCGGTGGCGCCGAGGGCCTTCCAAAAGGCCCAAGAGGGCGTCGAGGCCATCCCCATAAGCCCAAGGGGGGGGAAAACGAGGGAAGGGAAGCGGTACGGGTACACTTCCCCTTCTGACATAAGTCGCCCGCGGATGTTTTCGAATCCCAGAGCGTTCGTTCCCAAAAGTTCGGCCTTGGGGGTCCCATTTCGGGTCTCGGGGCAGTCGAGAAACGACCCAGGAGGAGAAGCCAGCCCTTGGGGACGAGATTATGAATGTAAAGCGGGTTGAGATTGCTTGTACAGCGCAGAATGTACTAGAGCGGCGCGTGGGTATTATAACGGGCGCGGAACGGCACCTTGAGCCAAACAGCCACAAGGGGAAAAATACACCCGCACCATGCACTCACTAAGGCAAACACTGCTGATCTACCGTTCGAGACTGGTGCTCAAACGATTCACTTGTGCCTCGCTGGAAATCTGGGCGTCAACCGCCTAGAGAACCAACAAGACACCCTGGACTAACAAAACAACTGCAAGGTAAGAGAACCTTCTACGGACCAAGCTCTTCATCAACAATTGCCCACAGGAAATGGTACCCTGACCGGTTCCGGCACGTCCCGTAGCTGCTGGATTTTCCACCCCAGGGCGCTTTGGCCCCCACGGAGCCAGCCGCAAAAGCATGTTACGGCGATCGTGGCAGGGGCGGAATACTCCCATCATTGACCATGGGACTAACCAAAGCAAGCCTACCAACCACTTCAAAACTACAAGTAAAGGACTGACCGTGCAAGCGGCCTTAGAATTCCCCTGCTGCTTATCGAACACAGCTCAAGAGAGGAACTTATCCTCAGCGCGGCTCACGACGTCGCATTCTGCGAACACAGTTCGCCTTATGCGGAGTGAATTACCACTTCCCTTCGCGAACACATGTCGCCTCGCGGCGCGCCCCATCCCCATCTCCGCAGCCAGGCCTCTAGCGCACCGACTCGGTGACATTCGTCGGGCATCTGGCGGCCCGACTCCGTGACATTCGCCTGGTCTCTGGCGCCCCGATTCCGCGATGCGCATCAGGTCTCTGGTGCCCCAACTCCGCGACACTTGCGAGGTCGCTGTAGCAGGACCTCGGGGCGGCCTTCTTACCTTGCTCCTCACTAAGCTTCACCGCAAGGTGGGCGTAGACGAGCTCGCTTGCACTCCACGACGTCGAAGACGAGCTCCCTGCCACGCTTCCTTTCGCCATTGGATCCGCGCGCATGCCACGGGCGTCGCACCACGGCATGTCGGACAGCTGTATCGTTCGAAGCTGGCGGGCTGGCCACCGCGAGCTGCCGGCCATGCCGTTCTTAGACGGCGGGCGCACTCGGCCCATGGTCAGCGCCGAGAAGACTGACGCGCCGTATATGACCAGCTCGGCCGGCACGGCGTAGCCACCCTCCTCCCTCGGACTCCGGATCTCGTCTGCTAAGGCAAGTCCACATACCGTCTCGCGGAGCGTGAGGAGGTGCGCCCGCGGCCCGTCGGCGGCCCCGCGCGCCGCGAGCAGCTCCGAGCCTAATGGCGATATACATGCGAGTTTGCGCGATCGACTCCAGCGTCGAGCAGTAAGCAAATCCATGTACCAGACCTGCGACACTTGCCCAGAAGCATGTCTACGGCGCCTCTTACGCCGCATCCTGTCTCCTCCGCGCGCGTGAAAGAGCCGTCGCTGCGCGCGCAGATCTTGCTCGCGCGCTCCATCGCAAGGTGTACGACGCGCGCCTTCATCTTCTGCGTGGCCATGACCACGGGGCTGAGCTGCATGATCTGCCCGATGAGCAGCTTGCATTTTGTTGGCCCTCTGCAGCGCGACAATGCAGACGGCAACACACCGTTGCGCGAGCAGCGCGTGGGCAGCTGCTCCTGGGAACGAAACAAAGGTCTTGGAATGGACGCTCGGTCGGCTCGTCGGCCTTCGACTTGGCCAGGTCGGCGTGCCCGACGGGGGTCAGCGCGTCTACGCGCCCCTTCTGGTCGCGCGTCGCGCCACTGCCAACACTGCGGCGTTCGCAGGCGCTGCCGTTGGCGAAGTCGTCGTGGCCCCCCATCACTTAGCCGGAGACGCCCCCGACGTGACCGATGAGACGGCGGACGCGCCCCTTGCGCCCTGCAATCTCGAAGTCGTCAACGCGCTTGGACAGCATGAGCGCTAACTCCGGGGCGCCGGCGCCATCAGCGCTGGGCGCCTCGCGCATGACATCGAGCTCCGGGCCACGCCGCGTCGGCTCGGCGCCGCGCTCCGCTGAGCGCGTGAAGCAGGCGAGCTACAGAGGGAAAGCTCTGGGCGCACCCCCGCAGCCCGCGCCCGGCTCGACGCAGCGCAGACAATCGGTCCGCTCGCCGAACGACTCGCAGCCCAGGACCTGCCTGAGGATAGCCGCACTGCCGGGCCGCAGCGCGAAGTTCGACTCTCGGCACATCGCCATGCCGTTCATCTCGGCACATGCCATGCCCTGCAGGAAGGCCCCCTCGACGTCCACGGCGACGCGCACCCCGTCCGGGCGACGGGCCGCCTCCGAGGACAGAATGCGCTGAGACGCCCGTTTCGCTGCACCTGCGAACGTCGCGGGAACCCCGCAGCGACGCGCGGCGCTAGAAGATCCTGGCGGCATTGCCGCCCGACCCCTTCTGGTGCTTCCACTTGAACACGCCTCTGGGGCCCACGACGTTCCGAACGCCTTTGGGACGACGACGATCGAAACACTTGTACTGGACCCAGATGGTGAGCTCCTCGAAGATGGCAGCGGCCAACTCCTCTCTGAGCCTCGATACATCCTGCTTGGTCAGGAAATCGGCGTCGCGCTCGATTACAGCGGTTTCGACAGCAGCGTAGACCGCGAGCACGGCTGCAGCGTCGTCAATGGCAACACAGTTGCCCGTGGCAGCTCAGAACTACCTCACGCACTCCTGGACCCAAGTCCTCCTCCCCCAGCTTGGCGCAGTCGTCCAGAGTGGCGCCGCGCATGTCGTAGTGGCACTGCGCGTGGATATGCTAAAGTTGGCGCTAAGTCTCCAAGTGCAGGGGCCCCACGCGAGGTCCGCGGCCCATGCTTACGGCCGCGTGCTCGACGGCAGCGTAGACCATCTGCTGGCTGTCGGGCCCCCCCAGCCACTGTAGCTCCTGGGCCAGATCATCAGCGCCCTCGGCCTCCTGCCAAGCTGCCAACATCACCTGCTGAATGTGGCCAGAGAGATCGCTTTCAGCCTCCTCGGACATCACTGACAGGGCAGATGGTGAACCCTCGGTGACGCTGGCGGCGCCCCCAGGAAGGTCGACGACATAGTCATCGAACGCCCCGTCTTGATACTGCCCAGCGTCGGCCGCCAAAAACTGTTCGTCACCCACGACGAACTGGATTACGCGAGCGTCTTTCCACTGCTCGCCGACGAAGCCGCGGGCGTCGAACTTGGCGCCGCCCAAGGTGCACGCGGCGGACGTCGCTCGGGCTCCAAGGGAACCACCGCGCGGCCAGAATGCTGCCGCAGCCTGGCCAGTCGCCCACGGATTTCTGACCGCGCACACGACGCGCGGAACAAACGTCTGGAAGCTGAAGGCATCTGCCGGACAGATGGCGTAAAGCCTCGAGGACATCAGGGCGTCACCGAGCCTGCTCGGTCAGCTGCTTGCCCTGCTCGTCCTCCCAATGGCCGAAGGTCCTGGCTCCTCAGCCTGGCGCGACGCGCTCTAGGAAGTCCCCCACGCGGCACCAGGCCAGGCCCGCTCGCGCCATGCCGGTGCCCATGTCGTTGGAGACGGCGCCAATGGAGGTCCGTTCCTCCTGCAGTCTGCAGATCATCTCGGCGTTGCGGCACTTGACCGTGACCTTGCCCCTGGCCGGATCCACAGAGAAGCAGTGCCAGGACCTGCCAGCCTCGCGCGTCTCTCACGCTAGGAGGACGGTGAATCTCCACCTGATCACCCACATTGATGCGTCCCTCTCCGGTCTCGGCGGCGCGTGTCCGGCGGGCGCGATTGACGCGAGCGACCGAAAAGGCCTCGATCATGCGCTGCAAAGCGCTAGAACGGATACGCCACTGCAGTCGGAAGCGTCGCACCTCGCCACCAGCAGCGGGCCCAGCTCCGGCGACGCAGTCGCCCCCCCCCCGTCTGTTTCGAGCGGCGGCAGCCCGCCGACGACGATGCCGCACGGCGTCACGCGGCCCACGCGGGCGAATCCATTGCCCGCGAAGATGGCGCGGACCAACAACATGGAGTCGAAGATGGCACCGTTGCCTTCGCGCTCCAGCTGCGCCTCGGCGGTGCGAAGCGCATGTCGTAGCACAACGCAGCGTCGCTCCATGAAACGAGCGCGCTGGCGTGGAGCACCGATGTCCACCTGGGCCCCTCTCGCCCTCATCTCTTCAACGCAGCACTTGGAAGTCATTCCGCTGTCGCCGTCATAGCTGGATCCACGACCGGCCCAGTGCTGCCAGCAACGTTGAAACCTGCCTGTCCGCGACCTCCTGGCCGTTGCGCCACCTCGAGGCGCAGCGGATCAGGCGCAGAATCATGCGATTGTATGAAAGGAAATCGCATTCAACGTCTGGTTAAATCGCGGGGAAGGCGTCGCATAGGAATGGTTTGGCGCGCCGGCGGTAGCCACTTACGGCATTACCGACAGTTGTTGACAACTG